CGGTGTTTTCTGTCCACAAACATCTGAATTAACTGTAATACATGACTCGAGTGCGTGTCTCTATTATACAAGTATGATAAATAGTGTGTAAAGATAAATTGGTTTTCGGCTCATGAAGTAGGTAAATTAGATAAATCGAAGAAAATTGTGTTGTTATATTTCTATCGCAGCGATTCATATTAGATACAAGATAGCTTTATTGTCAAATTAAAATATGAAATTAGTTTTTCTCATGGCAACGAAAGTACATAAACAACAAAGAAACATACGATCAATGATGATTGATTTTACATCACATGTACAGTATTAATTAGATCTCTATGTTTGCCTGGTGATGTGATGATGATGAATTTTACTACTGTATATAAAAGTGTCTTCCCATCTAGGTACTATTTTATATTTTTTTTTACCTAAGTCCCAACCACGTGCGGCTGAAGTAGAGCTAAGAAAATGTATGATTACTGCACCTGTAGACAAAAATTTGAATATATTATTTTTTTCTCAATATTTTTTGAAATTTTAAAAAGGCCCCCACCCCCTATTATTAAGTGAAGGTGGAATGAGCCAAGCCTGAGTGAGGGCTGTCTCTTATACACATCTAGATGTGTATAAGAGACAGGTTGATGTCCAACACTTATAATTGACAAATAAAAAGGTTAAGGAACTGAAATGTTATTAATATTTATTTGGCATATTATTATGCATGCATGACATGCGGTCTAACTGTTATACAGTCATAATAAAATCTATTTATAATATACTATTGATTTATTAATTCTACGATCGGCAACCCATGGGTCGTAACCCATAAGTTTGGGCCGTGAGTGAATTTTTGAGGGTCGTCTGATCACATCTGGGTCTCCAAAAGTTTATACAGAAAGTCTTAAGTGTTAAAATTAAATACTTTAAAAATCAGAACATTCGAGTCAAAACATCCAAACAAAATATTTTTAAAATAAAATACGGTACTTTGTTACAATTTTGGCTATTGTCTTCAATTTGCGTGCCTGCATGCAGTGTACTATAATCTCAGTCAGACCGCCGTTTGTTTAATAGTGTTTTTGTTTGGATGCATGTATCATGAATAGAGTAAACGA